CTTCTCTTTTGGAGAATCTACTATGCCCCTCTTATTTCTTAATTTTCTCAAACTTCTCAGGCTACACTCTTTCTACCTCCTAGCAATCTTGCCTTACTTTTTTATCTTTTAACTACCATCACACCTCTCTATCAGTTCTAGCCTACATAGATGATACAATTTGGATTACCCAATCTAAAGAAGAACTGAATAAGATTATTAATATTGCAACTTCTTTCTAAATATGGCCAATATACAAGTTAACCCTTCTAAATCTATACTTATTTCTAAATGCCTATTTGCATCTATCTCTTTTTTGAACTCCAATTTTCTATCTATTTCATTCCACCAACTCTTCAAGTTTCTGGGTTGCTGGTTCACCCTTAATAACAAGCAAACACCACAAATTAAGCTTATTCAAGATGAAGCTCTACAGTTAGTTAATATTGCTAATACCAAAACTATTACTAACAAGCAAATCTCATATGTCATCATCTCAACTTCTGAATACCGTATTCAAAATATTGTTACCCCCTCTCTATCTGTAACAAAATGCTTGGCAGATACTTAACTATTGCTAAATATAAGTCTCATCTTTCCCAATCAACTCCAAATAGTACTATGCTTAACTATAATCTTTATAATATCTATAGCCTATAGGATATACAACTTCAACATCACATTAACAACTTCCTAAACCATATTAACAACACTTCAACTCTTAGCCTCACAACCCATATTAGACTCCAACAACTTCAAAATAACCTATGATTAGCTACTAATATTCTCCAACACCCTAATCTATTAATCAATAGTCCCAACAGATATACACTACTTTTAAAATTATACAATTTTTTAACTCTCTTAATATTTCTATTACTTCTAAATACAATCTTGCCTAGCTACAAATCATATCTGGTGGTAGCCTTCTCCTTAAAAATATCTTTTTTTAACACCCCAATTATCACACTTTTAAACAACATCTCTAGCACAAAAAGATTCTCTTTCTTAAACAACTATGTTTTGCTAACAATGATATACTATTTGATTGATCTCATTTATCTTCTAAATTACTGCATATCACTAAAAAAAAAAAGGCTACTTGGTTTAACTATTTAGAAAATACTATTCTGTTTTATAGCCCTTCTCATACAATTATTTCCTCCTTCTGACTAACAGAATATAATCCCTTTGCTTACCAAACCAATCCCATAAACAAATCTCTCAAACCCTAGTTACTTACCTTATACAATAACAGTATTATTATTGGACAGGTCTGCAAAACCTTTCATCAATCCAATATAATTTCTATTATACACTGGCAACATGATATTAATACTTCTCACCCAAACTGTTATCTACTTCCTCGAATCTCTTGCAAGCCTTGCCCAGAATGTAGTCTCAACTCAAATCATATCTCTAACTACTGCACCTTGAAGTTTTCTCTATTTTCTCTACCCAATTTTTTAGAAGAAAATCTAATAATCAACTTAAACTCAATGCTAATTATATTGATCTTATACAATCCACTTTTATCAAAAGCCCACTTGATATTCTACTATTACCATCTATTAATATTACTGATTCTCTTACATCTCTGCTTTTCTATAATAACACTGCATCTAGCAACCTTCTTCAAATCACACTAGCTAATATACCTTACAAACAATTTATCTTCTTCACTGATGGTTCTGTCAAAAATCTTGGCACAGAGCAATATACTATGGGTATTGTTTAGGCCAAATCCATAACAATACTGTTATCTACAACTTCTCTGCCCAAATTATTAACTGGCCTTCATCATACAAAGCTGAGCTTCTTGCTATCCTCTCTGCTATCTCTACTGTCCTATGCAACTCCTCTGTTGACATCTTTACTAACTCTTAGTCTATAATCTTTAAATATAACAAACTTTTTCAGACTTCACAATTTTCTACCAAATACTTCAAATTAACTTTTGGTCTATTTGGCATACATTTCTTTCTCTCATAAAGTCTATAATATTAGCTTAACTTTCCACAAAGTTCAAGCCCATACTAATAATACTTTTAATAACTTAGCAGATTATTTTGCTAATAATTATGCATCATCTCCTATCCTGCTATTTAACTACACTAATATTTACAATTCATACTTCTTTTTCCAATAGAAAAACTTTTTTATTGATAGCTCTACTAGATGATTTATCAAAAATATCTGTAAAGCAAAAACTATTTTTATGTGGTCTTTACAAAATCATGCCTCTAAATAGTCACACTTTTCTATTATTATAGACTGGAACTTCATCTGGCTTTATTTAAATAATAACCAAAAGAGATTATATAACTTTACCAATCCCAAGCTTAACCATCTCAAATCTTTTAAAATTAAAATACTACTCAACAATCTCCCCACTCATTCATACTTTTATTCTATATTACCTAATATATTTCTATTCTCCTATTTTTTCTAAGACAACCTTCCTGAATCTTCTACTCACTGGTATATCTGTTCCTACTATAACCTTTTATCACAGATTATTTACTCATCTATTTCTAAAACTATTTCTAATTTTAACCTCAACCTTCCTTACCATGAATTAAACTATCTCATATATACAATCTCTTCTTATCCATCCTTCTCTCTTTACTTCTTGTCACTTTATTCATACTCTCTTCACTCGACTCTTAGAGGCCTCAATCCTACTCCTATTATCCAATGCATACAACTATTTGATATTTTATACTCCATTTTCTCTCAAATTATTTTCCAACTTCTTATCAAAATCTCCAACCAACTTTATAATCAAATCTGGAAATCATACTGTATTAACTTTTCTACTTAGAAAAAAGTACATCAAATATCTTTAAACCTTGTTTCTACCCAATATCATCAACAACCTCTTTCTCATCCCCACCTCAGAACTTGTAATATATTTATATACAATTGCTCCTGCAATTTATCAGATCAACTACACTCTAATTCTAATTCTTGCCTACTTGCTGGACTTGCAAATCATAAATTTAATATATAAGCTACTATGTGGGCTTAGTATAGCATCCCCACTAACTTTATTTTAACCATTGAAATCTAGATGAGTCTTGACTACTTTAGTAGGTTTAGCTCACAGATAAATAATTAGTCTGAGCTCTTATTCTTGCATATAGTTTATATTTATTTATTTATATTAAATTAAGTTTTCATTTAGTTTCTATATATTTACTTATATAAATTACTCAAAAAAGATATGAGCAAGGCCTCACCTTTTAAAACCAAAAAAAAAATTAAAATAATTTAATTTTAAAAATATACTTTATCTGGAATTGCTAAAAATCTCTAGCCATTTTTAATAAATTTGGATATTCAGTAAAAGTACCCACATATTCTTAAGTATAGCTATTTTTTCTTTATTATAAAAATTCACTTGTACAATTGCTATTTTACTTTTGTTTTTAATATGCCAACTTTGAATTTTGCAACTTCTGAAACTTTTCATCAAGGTGGCAACTTCTTTGTTTATTGTCATTTTTGGCATATCTCATAATGTAATAACTTGGTTTATATTTCTGCTACTCTCTGTATCTTTCTTATATAGATTTTCTAACTCTTTTGCTATTAGATAGAATATTTTATCAAAGCCTTCTTGCTTCTTTACTTCTCTGGTCTCTTTTTTGATTTTTTTTATTAGGTTTGAAACCATGGCCTTCTTTGAGGAGTTTATATTTGATAACTTTATTGTATTCTTATCTGTGGGTTTCTTTTTTACTTCTACTAATGATTCTTCTTGATTTGGCTTCACAGTCTTTTTTAATGACTTTTTACTTGTTTTTCCTGTGATATTGTCTTCTAGAGGCTTATTCATTGCCTCAATTGATGCTTCTAACACATTGGCTACTCTTGTCATTATTTCCTCTATACCATAATCTGTTGTACCAGCTTCTTGGAGGTTTACTACGATTTTTTTGTTTAATTGTATAATAGCCTTTTCCTGGTTTTCTTTTTCTATATACAATTCTTCCTATATACTTTTTTCTGTTTTAATTTTATTTCAATTAAAACAAATACATTCAAAGATCTCAGATACTAATCTAATTATATATACTATTCTAGGGTGTGCAATACTAAGAAATTCTGCAACTTGTTTATCTTTTTTGAAAACCATACTGCAATGAGTTGAAAAAAAAATTAGCAATTTCACTTTCTGGTTTGTGAAAAATTTCTTGAAATTTTTTAATTTGTTCCATCTTAATCTAAAACTAGATTTACATTCTAGTTTCTTCATATAAGTAGCTTGTTTTTGTATAATTTACACTACTTTATTGTTTATTCCTTTTCTAATACGTGTAATTTTGCTATTTTATGTGTTAGTTTGTTTACTTGAAGCTGGGTATATCACATATTGTTTGTTGTTGCAAATGATCTGCAGAACAGGATTAAAGCCAATTTCCCTGAAAATATGATTTTTTTGAAAATTTTTTATCAAAGTAACAAAAAGCCAACTGTTTTTTCTTTTAAGCATTTAGCTAGGGTTGGATCTGTTAAGTCTAGTACAACTTTTGGTGCTGCTTCTTTTTTTTTTAGAGTTTGAAGACTTGTTTTCTAGTGCTTCTGGCTTACTATTTCACGTTTTTCTTTAGCTCAATTTTGGTACGAGGATCTGCAGGGGAGAGTTATGCATATTTGTAATATCAATATTTAAACCCTAATAATATATATACAATACATGTATTTTCTAAATAACTTGAACTAGTAAGTTCAAATATTACATAAAATGAAGAAAAATATAATTAAAAAAAGTTGATCAGATACTAAAACAATATTGTAATAAAAAAGAATAAGTACTATATTTAATATTAAATTTAAAAATAGCAAACTTATATAAGCTTAATATTAAAAGGATACATAAATGAATATATATATACTATATGCATATTATATATAGCTTTAAAATTGTAATGCAATATGTAGTATTACTAAATATAAAACTGTTTAAATATGTTAATATATTATGATAGCTTTGTATAATAAAGTATAAAATATTATTATCTTCTTGTGCAACTTCTAGAATTATGCTCAGCACTTTTGCAAATACTATATGTATATATTTTTTTAGTAACATGCTTAGTACCTGTATTTTCACACTTAGTACTACTTGGCCTTCCCTTCATCTTTGAAATATCAGAATCTCTAATATTTTCTTGTGAAAATAGATATTTATTCTTCAATTATTTAATGAAAAGAGCCAAAGTATTATTAATTTTAATATAACTCACTTGATTCACAATATTTTCAACATCTTTAAATAAGCTTGAAGTAGTTCTAGTAGATATTTATTGATTAGTAGACATATTAGAAGTACTGCAATTGAAATTATTTTAAAATTCAGTGTTATAATAATATTATCAGCAATAATATTATCAGCAGTAATATTGTTGGCAGTAATATTATCAACTGCTATATTGTCAGCAACATAGTTTTTTTTTTCTTCTTCAGTTATATTAAACATAGCTATAGAGATAATTCAGTGAGTACCAATATAATCAGTACTTAAAACTTTCTTATTAGCAATGTAAATTGCAAAAACATAATGACATAGCAAAGAAAATTGCACATTATAGTTACAAAAACAAGTATACTTATCATCAGTTTAATATATTATATATTTACAGCCTTTATTATAATAAATATATATTAAAATAGCTTCTTGTCTCTTAACCTTATATTCAATAGCTAAATAGTATTAATTTAACAATAGAGAATATGTAAAAACTAATACAATTACTGAAACATCTTTTAATAATTTTGGACATTGTTGGTAAATACTATTATACAAATTATATTGTTGATATTAAAAATGCTGGAGTTGATGATTTGTTAATTTATTTAAAGCACTAATTAATTCAGGTAAGAATGCTATATAACTAAGTAGATATTTTAGAAGTAAATTAGTAGCTTTAGACTGTTGTATTTTTTTTACTTTATAATTAACATATTTGTAAGTATAACTATATGCTTACGTACTTTTATTTAGTTTCTACTACTTTGTCATATAAGTATTAGCCTCTAGATATTTAATTAATAAACAGTCCTAGGGAATATTAAATTGCTTCATGTTAGTTTTGAAAATTACTGCTCTGAAATCTTTACTGAATGGTATAAATTTTTCTTTAAGCTTATTATTTAAATTTTTAATGATATTTTGCACAATATACCAAACATAAAGTTGATATTTAATATTCAGTAACTTTGCTTAAACTGCAAACTTAAGTACAAGATCTTTATTAGTTATAATAATCTTTATATAATTAACAATTATGTTACTAGCTATTTTCTTTAATTGACAGAGTGCCCAACAAAAATTTGGTACAGTTTCATTAGTGAGAAAACAACTTGCAATAAGAAATAATATGTCTATTGTATCTATACTACTAATAAGAAGAAGTAGCATTCTAAATAATTAACTATATATTTAATATACAGTATAAAAAAAAAATTAAATAAAAATAATGAAGAAAAGTATTGTCCAAACTAATTTGTTTTATACATTGAATCTATTAATAAAATCTCTAGATAACAGTTAAAAGTAGAAAGTTCAAAATAAGTTACAAAGAATAAACAATGAAGTTTTTCATTATTAATTGAATAATTAACTAAATACACATTATTGTTATTTAAATTATTTAATAATTCAGCAGTTTGAGACATACCCTTTATATAATCACAAGATTGATAATTTAAAGAGTTATATATATCTTTATTATATATATATCTATTGTATTGTTTTATTAATATGTTAATGATTGTTGGCACTAGTACACCTCTATTATAGAGTATTTAAATATGTGCATTTTCATTAAGACTTGGTTTATAATAACCAAAATTAAACTTAATTGCTGCAAAATCCAAAAGATAATTATGTTTAAGATTAACAGACTATACTCTATATTTATTTTTCTTTGTCCAATAAACTACTACTTTAAATGGGCAGTTAGTAGCTATGCTTTTTATCATTTGCTATCCAGTACTTGTATTACTTGCAACACCAGCATGGCAACATACAATATTTGCTCTGATTATATTATTTATATTTCTTTTTGTATAATGAAGTCTTGTAGCAAATTTTTTACTTATTGCATATATTTTTGAACACTGTTCTAGTTAGTAAAAGTTTTTCTAACTATTATTATAATTGGATTATTACTAGTTATTTGCCTTTGTGATATTAAACAACTCATAGCTATCATTAAGAATGTTGAGTAAATTCTCATTACTGCTAATATCAATATTAGAACTTGCTTTACTATTATTATCAAGGTCAGTATTTTCAAGAAAAAGTTTAAAGTTTATATTGTATAAAAAAGCATTGAAAAGCAAAAAATAAAAAAAATATGTATAACCTTTTCTGATTATTTTTATTTATATATATCATAACTCCAACTGATTTCTGCTATATTTTTATGTGTTACATGTTTATATCAATTGTTAAACTAAAAAGTAATATTTTATTATTATTGTATAAATATATAAAACTATATGTAGAAAATAAATAACTAGAATACACAATCAATTTAAGGCTATGTAAAGTCATTTTATTCTTTAATCCAAATATTACAAGACCTAAAACTTTTAAAATATTTTTTATTTTATATACTATTTAACTTTAATATTAAATTAGACTTGTAATATAATATATATTTGCTGATCTTTATAATGTCAGTAAATTAATTTGATTATAAATAAAAAATTAACTTTGCATTCTATTATTTTTTATAAAACAATGTACACTTAGATGATATTTTCAAAATAATAAGTGTACTGCTAAAGTATTTAAATAGTATTTAAATTCTGCTAAAGATGGTAGTATTGTAATATTCAAAGTTTAAGTTCACTTGATTATAAACCAAATTTGAATTCAAGTTAAATCTGATTCGAGTATATGTAATCTGAATTGGGTATATATAACCTGAATTGGGTATAAATAACCTGAATTGGGTACATCTAACCTAAATTAGGTTCGATTTAAATCAAATTTGAGTCTACTTAAACTCACAAGCTTTGTAATTTGATTAGCTAATATGAAGTTGTAATTATGTACTGTACAAGCATATTTGCTAAAATGCTATTTTGCACTACAGTAGTACAAAATTATATAACTGGTCACTTTAACCCAGGCCAAAATAGAATTGGCAAATAAAATTATAAAAAATATTAAGATTCACAATATTTATCAATAAACCTATATTAGTATTCTAAGTAAATTTGTTCTATGCATAAAAATACATAATTTTAGTATATATTTACCTTATAGTTTTGAAGATTAAGAGAAAGATACTTAATTTTTAAATTTTTAATCAAAAATCAAAAATTAAGCATCTTTCTCTTAAAATTTAAAATTATAAGATAAATATATACCAATATTATATATTTTTATATATAGAACAAATTTACTTAGAATACTAATATAGATATATTTAGTAAAATATTGTGGATCTTAGTATTTTTCATAATTTTATTAATAAAATTATAGAAAGTAATATTACTTTCAAATTTTTTTATAGAATTCTACTTTTATATTCAAAGTAAACTTGTTTTATATATAAAAATATATATGTTTATCTTACAATTTTAAAGGTTAAAAGAAAGATGCTTAATTTTGAAATTTTTAATCAAAAATTTAAAATTAATATTTTTTCTTTTAAAATTTAAAATTTTAAGGTTAACTTATATTTATATAATGTATTTTTATATATAAAACAAGTTTACTAAGGAAAATTAAGGTAGGTTTATTTAATACAATTTTGTAAATTTTAATATTTTTCATAATTTAATTAATAAAATTAAAAAAAATATTGTAATTTTAAATATTTGTTTAGTAAATCTCTTTTTAGCTTCTATGTAAAATTGTCAGAAAATATACTGCGATTAAAACAGCAATTAAAATATTAAACTCAGCTCAGTAGATCATAAGATATACATATTTTAGTCTTTTTTTTTTTTTTTTTGGTTTTAAGGTGAGGCCTTGCTCATATCTTTATTAGATAATTTATATAAGTAATTACATAGAG